ATAGATAGATAGATAGATAGATAGATAGATAGATAGATAGATAGATAGATAGATAGATAGATAGATAGATAGATAGATAGATAGATAGATAGATAGATAGATAGATAGATAGATAGATAGATAGATAGATAGATAGATAGATAGATAGATAGATAGATAGATAGATAGATATCTGTGTGTGTGTGTGTTTTTAATAGCAATATCTAATTAAACTTAAATGCACTCCATCATGGTAATGCGATACATTTAGTCAGAAGAAACTAGAGCAAACTTGTAATATCATTTAGCTCAAAACATCTGGTTCAAGAAAAAAAAGCTGTCAAGCTGTTAAAAAATCTGATCAAAACCAGGGGAAAGAGTACTAGGAAGGGTAATTATTGTAAAACGAACAGATATGATGATTGCAGATGGATGGTAACAGGTTAAAGAACTAAAATAATACTACAGATGAGATTAAGGGGTAAGGTAAAAATCAATATAACCTAGTCTGTCCTTTTTTCTTTTTCTTTGTGTTCTCTCTTGTCTCATCTTCCAGTGTCTCAGTGGGGGTCGGCCATGATGCCTCACCAACTTCCTGCATCTTTGAGCCTCCTGTGGGTCCCAAGCCTCCAGAGGGTCCCAAGTCTTCAGAGGGTCTCACATCGTCAGAGAGTTCCACATCTTTAGAGGCTCCCAAGTCTTCATAAGCTCCCAAGTCTTCAGAGAGTCCCAAGTCTTCTGAGAGTCCCAAGTCTTCTGAGAGTTCCACATCTTCAGAGTCCCTTGTCTTCAGAGAGTCCCACACCTTGTGAGGGCCCCGCACCTTATGAGGGTCCTGTGCCTTGTTAGGGCCTTGTGGACTTTACACCTCCATAGGCCTCCATGCCTCTAGAGTGGTCCACACCTCAAGAGGGCTCCATGCCTATGAAGGGCTCCATGCCTCCCATGGTCTCCACACCTCCTGAGGTCTCCATGCCTCCCAAGGGTCCCATGCCTCCCAAAGGTTCCATGCCTCCTGAAGGTTCTACACCTCCTGAAGCAGCTATGTCTCATGAAGTGGCTATGCCTCCTGAAGCATCTACGCCAGTTGTAGTCCCTGAGGTCTATATGCCATCTACAGCTTTCATGATCTCTATACCAATGGCACCTTCCATGGTCTCTACATCAACTGCAACCTCCTAGAACTCTACACCAGCAGCTGTCTCCATGAAGTCTTCGCCTGCTGCAGCCCCCCTGGTCTCCATGATAGCTGCCGTTTCCCTGGTCCATACAACTGCTACTGTCCCCCAGTTCTCTACAACAGCAGCAGTCCCCCTAGTTTCTACGACAGCTGCAGACACCCTGGTCTCTACGAAAACTGCAATCCCCCTGGTCTCCATGACAGCTACAGACCCCATGATATCCATGCCAGATGCAGCCTCTATGGTCTCTTTGTCTGCTGCAGATCCCCTGGTATATTTGCCTGCTTCAGATTCCCTGGTCTCTTCACCTACTGTAGATCCCCTTATTCCACTGCCTGCATCAGATCTGCTGGTCCCATCTTCAGCAGCAGACACCTCATCTGACTCGCCAGCTGCAGACCACTCGTCTGACTTGTTATATACTGTAGCCTCTGTCTCTGGTCCATCATTGTCTACTGCACCCTCCACCTCCAGTCCATCAACGTCTGCCACTGCAGCTGCTCCTTTTGTCACTGGTTCTTTTTCTGTTGCAGCATCCATCTCCACTGGTTCCTTATTGGTGACTATCAAAGCTTCTATTGTCTTTGGTGCCCCATCTTAGCCTACAACCACAGTCTCCCCTGTGGTCTCTACACTCCTAGTGTCACAGATCTTAAGGGACTCCGGTAGGACATCCTGATGCATGCTCAATAATCCAGGTAGAAAAATCTAAAAAAGTTAAATCTGGTCCTCTGGACATTCAAAAAAACAAAACAAAGCAAAACAACAAAAAAATGTAGAAACGTTTCATCTCTCATCCGAGAGACTTCCTTAGTCTGAGGTGCTGTATTCAGCTCAGTCTCTTAAATAGCACCTTCTCGGAGTGGATCAACCAGTTTTGCTGCTGACAACCAAAACCAGCTTATCACATGCTCAAGAAGGTCCATCAGCCTAACAATGGATCATTAGCACACTGATGGCTGTTTACTATTCACAGAGGGCTGAGTGATACTAGCAATCACAGCATTGTAAGAGGGGGACAATTGAACAGGTAGGCCTCCTCCCCTGTTTAACGATGGACGATTTCTTTTCATAAAGATGGCCTCCTTTACTCCTCTCTCAAACCATCGTTCCTCTCTGTACAGGATGTGAACATCTTCATCCCTGAAAGAGTGACCACTGGCCTGGAGATGAGTGTAGACCGCAGAGTCCTGGCCTGATGATGTTGATCTTCTGTGCTGGGCCATCCTTTTGGCCAGTGGCTGTTTAGTTTCCCCGATGTAAGACTGATCACAGCCCTCCTGACACTGAACAGCATACACAACATTACTCTGTTTGTGCCGGGGGACTGGATCTTTGGGATGAACCAGTCTTTGCCGTAATGTATTTTGGGGTTTAAAAGCCACTGGGATGTTATGTTTAGAAAATAAATGTCTCAGTTTCTCTGATACTCCCTCAACATATGGAATGACCACTGGTCTGGGTCTGGGTTCCTCCTTTTCACCTGTTGGCTGACTGGAGTCCTGTTTGGGTTTCTTCTCTGCTTTCAGGAAGGCCCAGTTAGGATATCCACATTGCTCTAGAGCCTGTCTTGTGTGGGATTTCTCCTTCTGCCTGGCTCCTGAGCTAGTGGGGAGGCTGTCTGCTCTGTGATACAGAGTCCTGATGACTCCTAACTTGTGATCCAAAGGGTGATGGGAGTCAAACTGCAAATACTGGTCTGTGTGGTTGGGTTTGTGGTACACCTCAGTTTGCAAATGTCCTCTATCAGAGACTGAGATCTCACAGTCCAAGAAAGCCAACTTGCCATTTTTTTCATCTTCTCGTGTGAACTTGATGTATTTATCTACAGAGTTGATGTGGTCAGTAAAATGTTGGACTTCCTGAGATTTAATTTTAACCCAGGTGTCGTCAACATACCTGAACCAATGACTTTGTGGTGTCCCTGAAAAGGATGTCAAGGCTCTCTTTTCTACCTCCTCCATGTACAGGTTAGCAACAATAGGAGAAACTGGAGACCCCATAGCACACCCATGTTTCTGCCTATAATATTGCTCCCCATATGTGAAGTAGGTTGACTGTAGGTACAGTTTCAAGAGTTGACACAGTTGTTCTGTGGAAAGCGTGGTCCTGCTGCTCAGAGTGGTGTCTGATTTTAATTTTAAACTGACCACCTCTACTGCATCATCAACAGGAATGCACGTAAAGAGTGATGTGACATCAAAAGAGACCATTGTTTCATCAGTCTCCATGATGACATCCCTCACCTTATCCACAAAGTCCATGGTGTTCTGTATGTGGTGTTCTGAGCTGCCAACTAAAGGATGAGTTCAGACGCCAGCTATTTGGAAACATTGTAAGTGACAGAGTTAATCATGCTAACGATTGGTCCTTCGGATGAGAGATGAAACGTTTCTACATTTTTTTGTTGTTTTGCTTTGTTTTGTTTTTTTGAATGTCCAGAGGACCAGATTTAACTTTTTAGACTCCGGTAGGACGTTGCTCCTGCCCTGTTATGAACGGTCCCCTGGCCACCCACCAGAACTCCTGTCCTGTGAAGGATAGCCTCCTGGCTGCCCACCTGAACACTGGCCTCACTCTGGATGGTCTCCGGGCCATCCACCTGAACTCTGGCCTCGCTCTGGACAGTCTCTGGGCCGTCCACCTGAACTCTTGCTTCACTTGGTACAGTCTCCGGGCCATCTGTCTGAACTATTTGCCTTGCTCTGGATGGTCTCTGAGCCATCCACCTGAACTCTCACCTTGCTTTGGATGGTGCTCAGGGTCATTCTATAAAAAAGTTTGTGTGTGTGTTTTTTTTTTTTTTCAGGTCCTGATCTAGTCAGTTTTTGATTTTGATTCTTGTGTTTTTTTCTTGGTTCCTTCCATCCTGGTGTTTCCGCCTCCATCCAGCCAGTCTGTTTTTTGTGGTGGGTCTTTGGGATGTCAGTAGCTGTCCCTTTATGGGGGGATACTGACATAATCTGTCCTTTTGTCTGTTTTCTTTTTTTTTTCTCTAGTCTTTATTTCCTTTTCTGATCCTTGTGGTTGACTCTGTTCATTTGTGTGTTGCTACATCGTGTGG